TAATCCGTCGATGATGGCACACGCGAGAAAATAGGAGTTTGATGTATGAACTTCACCCTGTGAGTGATTTTTTTTCTGTCTTTTCTATTTAAACTGTAACCGAGTAACGATACTTATATTAATACGTGTAAACAAAGTGAATAGAAGAATTAAATAATGAGTAGTTATATTAATGTACTTGTAAACGAAATGATTCGAAGATTTAAGTAATGACAAGTTATTTAAATATACCTCTAAACGAATGATTAGAAAATTGGTACAACCACCTAAATTATGAGTTATGTAATGTTAAAAAAAATTAGTACACCTACACTTAACATGAGTGTAAGATTTAAAATGATATATATGTTAATTTACATCTTTAGGTTAATTTGTAGGGGACTGATCAGTTTACCTAGTTATCATATGTTTGAATATTCTAGAAATTAATAAATGTGTTTGATATATATTCTATGTTTCATTTGTTTAATTTAGTGTGTAATTTACTGTGGCCTGTTATGTTCCTCCATTTGTTTGAGATGGAAGGCTTTTAAGAAACATGGAGTTTTATTGAATTTGGGTTATTGATTTTTCCTTTGCATAGGTTACTCACAACGCGAACCTAAAAGTTAAATTGTACTACCACTATATGATTGTTTATTCGATTGATCTTTGATATATTATGAATTACGATTTGTTTTGATTATATATATATTTTTTTAGTTAATTTGTCCGGCACCATAAGTTGAGTCAAAGTTAAAAAGTATTAAAACAGTATTAAATTTTCAGATATTCAACAAAAAGGACACAGTAGAAACTTATGATTACAGCTTTTGGTGTAGAAAACTTAGCATTTTCTAACCTCAAATACTAATGTCCTTCAAAGGATTAAGTAGGATATGTGGCTCTGCCAAACCAAACAAACACAGTGCTGGTTTCAGATGCAATCATTCAATCTGTAATATAATAAAATGGAAATTGCGCAGCAGCTAGTATGTTTGATGCCGGTGAAAACTTGATACACGAGTGAAAGAAAAAGAAATCGCGATAATCAATACGCCAAAGAATAAATGCGCTTTGTGTAAAGGAATAACGAAATGGCCTATCCTAGAAGAAAGTGTTGTGAACTGGGTCCTAGAAGAATGAAGAAAACAGATGAAGGAATGCAGATGCCCTAGGAGAATGAAAAACAAAAAACAAAAAAGCAAACAAACCAAAAAAAAAAACAGATGAAATGGGAAAACTTTCATTTGGTGCAGTCGATTTATGGCGAGGAATAATTTAGTTTATGAGAAAAAACAAAAGTTTCGTAAAGTTTTCTGGAAGATTTGGACAACAAACTAATAAGCTTCCAGAAGTTCATTATTAAGGTACGATAGCAAAAGGAATTATTTACTGTCACATATTGGAAATACAGATGAAACTACACTAATGTTTGATATCACAGGAAATAAAACGATTAATGTGAAAGGAAAAAAAAAATGGGTCACATAGAAACAAAAGGTGACGAGAAATCTCACCTCGCCATAGTGCTTTCCTATACAAAATTGAAACTCACAGTTAATTTTAAAAGAAAGACGATGCTGAAATGTAACTTCCCACATGGTACTTTCATTCATGTTCATCTGAAAAGATGAAAGAACGAAAGTGGTGTGAATTGTGGATAAGAAATGTCTAGCGAAACCATCCTGTAGCCTTAAAGAATTCAGAAAGTCTTGGAGTTTGGGACATGTTCATATTCTATCTAACAAATAATACGAAGAATTTGCTGAAATCATGTTATACAGACATGGCAGCTTTTCCATGGGGATTAACATGATCAATTCAGCCTTTAGATGTGTGTATCAATAAAGCATTCAAAGAAAATTTTAAACGACAGTGAAATACATGGATGTTAGAAAGTGAAAATAAATACAAAAGGAAGCCAAATGCATCATGCCAGTCTAGAAATGGTGTGTGAGTGGATAATAAAAGCATGAAATGAAATTAAACACCACATAATTCTAAAGTCATTTACAAAATGTAGTATTTATAACAATCTAAATTAAATGGAAGATGATTATTTATTTGTGGATCAGTGTAAAAATGATGGTGAAGATGAAACAGAACTTGATGATGTGCCTGAAGATATAAAGTTCATAATCTATGTCATTTCTTATAAATAAACGGCATTTAAGTACATGTAGAAATCTAATTTTTGTACACTTATCTTTTTCAATATTTTTAAATCTATCATTTTTGCATCTGGTGTATAATGTGCACCTGTAAATTTCGATCTTATTTTTTGTATTAAAAATATGCATTATATGCTGTAATATACAAAATACCTGTACTTTTCTAGCTGATGTGCTTAACAATATACCCTGATGAGCCAAAACATTATGCCATCACCACATTTTTCAACGAACTCATCTGGATGATATGGAGGGCATGTGATTAAGTGGAAATGGTATTTAACTGCTGCTGCAGAAGGTAAGGAATCATTCTTATACTTACTTTTGTGAGTGGTGGGAAAGGCTGCTGAGCTAAGCAAATTTGATAGAGGGCATACTGTTATGGCCCAAAAGACTCGGAGGTATCTCCGAAACTGCACAACTAGTAGAATGTTTACCATCTGCCATTGTGAGTATTAATGCAAAATAGATAAATGACTGTGAAACCAGCAGATGGCACAATGTTGGATGTCCACACACCTTCAAAGAAAAAGGACATTGGAGACTGTGTCGCTTGGTACAGTAAAATCAGCACCAGACAGTGGCTCAGTTCACAGCACAATACAATACAGGTCCAAGTGCAAGTGTTTCTGAACATACAAGTTCAGCAGACACTGCTGGATACGGGACTGCGTAGGAGACATCCCACTCGTGTGCCCCCATTGCCAAGCATCATTTTCAACTATGCCTACAGCGGACCTGGGAACATTGAAACTAGACCATAAAGGCCATAAAAGAGGAAGATAAGTTGCCTGGTCGGATGAATCATGATTTCTCATTTATCACATCGAAGGTTATGTCAGGGTACATAGTCTTCCAGGTGAGCAGTTGATCTCCTGTACAGGTCATACACAGGCTGGTGGCGGTATTATGCTTTGAGGGATGTTCTCATGGGTGGCTCTGGGACCCTTAGTTGTGGCAGAAGAAACCATGAAAGCTGTAAACTATCTGAACATACATGTGGATCAGTTGCACCCTTACTTGGCATCTGTCTTCTCAAATGGTAATGGAATCTTTCAGCAAGAAAACACCTCAAGTCACAAAGCTCGAATTGTGTGAGTGGTTCGTGGTATAAAGATGAATTTCAATTAATGTCCTAGCTGCCTAACTCGCCAGATCTTAATCGAGCACATTTGAGATGTCATGAAGTGACAGCTCGGAGCTCAAACACTATCAAGTCGGAATATCTCGACTTTGCATGACTGCTGCTTAGACATCTGGCATAATCTGTCTCCAGTCACCTTCCAAGAACTTGTGGTACCTATATTAAGGCAAGTTCCAGCTGGTTTGCAGGTGAAAGATCGCACAACACGTTATTGAGTAGGTGGTCACAATATTTTGGCTCTTCACTGTAGGATGCCACTGCAAGCTAACCTGTGAATATTTTTTAAGTCTGCTGATCTTCATGGAAATGGCCAGTTCATTTAACAAACTAATTAGGCAATACAGGATATGGTTATGCACCTTGCTTCTGCAAGATAAGAAACAAGGTTTAAAATTCAGCAAAAGAGCAACCTTAGGCTGTTGTAGATTTTGAATTAAAGTTTTTTTTAGTTTCATTCAAAATATGTGTCAACCTAATGTTGCTTTATTTTGTTCAATTTTAAATTAGTGAGTGTGAGTTTCTCTTGTAGTTAGAAATAAGGTATTTTGAAATCTATTAATATATACACTAAACTTACAGTTATTATAGGTATGTTTTGATACTAATTAACAAGCATGTCTAAGACTATGCAAATAATTATGAATTAATTATGTCACATTTATACCAAAATGCATTAAAAAGGCTGGAGTACTATTTAAATGGTGAATACTGATAGCTGAAAATGAATTTCACAAGAGAAATGGAAGGTGAATATGAAAGCCAGCAAGATTAAAAACAATATTACTATGGGGTGTCTTACAAATGTAGAACTATCATGCTATCCAGAGCTTATTTTCATTTAAACAAGTTAAAAACTTAAATGTTTACAACTTGTTAGAGAACGAAGTTCACAGGCATAAGCAACTCCAGAAACATACTGTCACGAAAACTAACACAAAGAGAAAGCATTTTGGCAGAAATGATTACAACGGCAAATCTGCAATTTCAGAACATCACAGCATAAGCCAAAGTGACACTAAAACTTCAAAGAATTGTAAGGGGGGAAAGTGCAGTTATGTGCAATCTGATAAAGTAAGCATTTTATAGGTCTTTCCCCTTTTAAAAAAGTGTGCAATTATCTTCGTATTTAAAACCATACCTAAATATATGTTTGAAATTTTTATATCCGATTTTGTTGCTATAATAGTTATATGAAAATTTAAACAGCACTGGAAAAATTAAGACATAAAACAATACTAAATTTTGGATATTATTTTAAATTGTAGTCTGAAATTTTCTTTTACATTGTTTTGTTCTGCTCTATATATAAAGCTTTTTAATAAACAGCTTTCATATTTTTAAACTATACTAAAATAACTTTTGAGTAATCATAGTGTGTATTCTTCTGTTCTGTTATTCAACTACAAACTGAAAATCAGATTTTTATTTCGTTTAGAACTGATCATTGTGACTTATTATCAAAAGAACATGTTTAAGTATTTGCAATGAACGGAAGATTTTTAATCCACCTTTATTTAGGAAAAAAAGGTTAATTAAACTAATGTGAATGAAGCATGCTAAAATAAAATTTTAAATATTTCACGCAATAAAATTCTATCTAGTATTAGGTAAGAAATTATAACGTTGTTTATTCCCATCTGAATCACAGCAATATGTTATATATACAGAACTTCATATAATTTTATTTTCAGATTAACAAGACCTTTTTCTTTTTTGCAAGGTATTTTATTAACATAAAACAGATAATAACAGAAACATGAGTAAGATGTACAATTAAGTATATGTTTAATAAAAACTTATGTCAAAAATTAATAAAAAATTTAAATCCAAATTTGATACACAGAATAGTTGATTCAAAACAATATTTTCTTCACTCGTTATTCTCTAATATTCAATATGCAAATCTTAATTTTTCATCATAACCCAACTGATCAAGGCTAGGCCAACAGGCAAGTTTTATCATAGGTGGTGGCCCACACATCAAAATAAAAACACCTTCAGCTGGAGGAGGTAAACGCTCAGCAATCATGTCTGCAGAAACAAATCCCACGCTATACTTCCAGCCTGAAACATTAAAAGAGGTTAACAAAAAATTCATAACAAATAGAAAACTGGAAACTGTTATGCATATTAAAGGAAAAGAACTTCAACTGAAGCATTAATTACTTAAAATATATTACAATCAAATGTACCCATTATGGGTTAATAAGTATGAAAAAATACATGGTTAACTTTCTCTAAGATGATTATCCAAGAGTCCAATGATTCTGGTCTTACGTGGAAGCAGTCATCTTAGAGAAGCTGACAAATGATGATGGCAGTTAGCAATTTGCATTACGGATTTACATTATTCAAGCACTTATAGCACTTATTTTCTATTAAAAAACTACTGACATAGAAAGCATGGTAAATTAGCTAATTAATAAAATGCACTTAATTTTACTGAAATACAAAAATGCACTTAATTTTACTGAAATACAATCAGTTAACCCCTTCCAGGGCGGTATATAAAGTAATTTAAATTGTGCATAAATTGTAACTTATGGACCCTAAAAACACTCAATTGAAACTTAAAAAAATCTAGAGTGAAATCCTGAATTTTGAAAGCTGGTATATATTTTATACCGCTGCTCCCGTAGCGCATTTTTTTTCCATGCAGCTGCCAATTGTTAATTTTTGCTTTTTTAATCTGTTTTTGCATACGTTTGATATGTATCTATTGAAATGGGCACTTGAATAGTTATGTAAATCTGAAGTCAAGAAGTTCTATAATTTCTCTAGAAATTAAAAATTTTTTTAAAATATAATTTATGTTTTTAGGCACTTTGATGATGCCACCCAGTTGAACATACTTATGTAAAATATGAGTGAAAAGCTTTTGAAAGTGATTTAAATTCAATATTATTATTTTATCAAAAAAGTTAGCAAATATAACACTGCATGACTAAACCAATAACTGAACTAGTATAATGTTGGAAGGAAATATAACTCAGCTGAAAAATAAAAAGTAAATGAAACATTATGACTCAGGTGAGAAATTAAAGTTATATTTTTGAAATTATTATATTTTATGCTTTAGATAATATATAAAAAGAACCTGCTTCCCACTATGGTATAGAGACTCTTTCCATTCCGCCACACACTTTTGATAATCGGGCACCATAAGTGGCCCTTTTTAATTTTTTTGCAAATATAGATTGTATTATATCATTTTGTTCAGGAAGAACAGTCGTTAAACTATTTTATTATTTTTCATTAATTTATTAATAAAATTCAAGGGACTGAAAATCAAAATGAAATCTTCGAATTTCGCTTTTCAGTCCCTTGAGTCCCCTATGGGTCCCTTTTTAACTTTTCAATAAATAAGGTAGTAATATATAATTTTGCTCAAGAAAATGTCTTCATTAGAGGTAAAGTACAAACACACCTCAAAGGCCCCCTTTTTGTTTTTTCGATTGTCAGGCCTATGGGCCATGTGGAACCAGTGGATATTTTCCTTCCAAAAATAAATGTTTTGCATCTAAACCTGGCTTATTTTTTTTCCCCCTTTCACCAACTGTAAAGACTTATTTTGAAAACTGCCTACTTGTATTCCTACCCAGGAGGAAAATTTCTTTTGTTCTCTCACCTGGCTTTTTAAATCAGCAGATTTTCCATTCCACGATTAGGGGAAAATCTAAAGTGCATGCCTATTTCCAGTATTTGTGAGTGAGCTTCCCTTTTGTGTGATCTTATTAAAAACCCTTGTGGTTTGCGCATGTGCAATCTTATCTAAACTCTTCTAATACGACAAATTAGCCATAAATCATCTCTTTTCATTTTCACTGCATTCTATGGTTTTGCAAAATACGAAGCGATGGGGGTCTTTCAGGGTTAACATACCGCATTTAACCTCTACAATTGTGTAATATGTTTTGACGCCAGTTTTAAAATCAATACATTTAACTCGGAGGAAAAGGGTGATAGGATGAAATTTAAATTTTAGCTAAACAGAGAGGAATGAAAACTTGACTGGAGTAAACAGATAAAAAGCAACTAAAATACTTTTATTCATTCCTAGCATATGATCATTAAACTTTCCATTCCCCCAAGAGCATGATACTTAGTCATTAAAACTATCAATAAATGTCATAAACAATTATTACAAATAAATTCTGTCACTCCACAGAGTAAAGAAGCCTGGTGCTTTCTGTTGGCAAGGTACCCTCAGTATGGGTGCCAGTGTGTTAAAATCATGCAAATAATCTTTTAATTACCAGTTTTGATTGATATGCAGTAAACATATAAGGTTCAGCATGAGTATGTCATATATTTGAAGATTCTTAATTTTTTTCTTCTCTTAAATATAAATTAACTTTATACATAAAAAAGGGGAGCTTACAAAAATTATAAATTAGTTCCAAAAACACTCACTCCTTATTACATTATTCACTCTTCATTTTCTCTTTTACTAATCACTCTTCTCCAAAAGAATTTTTAACTTCATAGGCAAATAATCAATTATCTTATTATTATTTTTTAAAATAAGACCTAATCATTTGAAATAATTTACAGAACTTAAGAGTTTCATTTAAAGATACAGTCAAGATTCTTTCATATAGGAGTATCCCTTTAGCTTTTTAGTAGATATTTTTTGCAACAAATAAAAGATTAATTTTTTTTTCAATTTAATACAGCAGAGTATGCAGCACTTGCCACTGTTTCTGCATTTTCCTGGAAGTTTACCACAATACATTCATGGTCTTCAAAAATGATCAACATAATTTTTTTGGAAGATGAGTGTAGATTAAATTCATTTTTTACCACAGGAAATGAGTATTTCCACTGTATATTTTGTTAATTCCTTTTAAAATTCACAGAAAAGAACACATCTTATTACTTATGTGTTCTTAAAATCTACGCTGGATTGGATTATTTTACTATGGCAAGGCACATAAAATAAAATAGTCATCTCACTTTTCTAAGACAACTGGCTCATTTTACTTAATATACTGGGAAAACTGAAAAAACTCCAAACAGTTCCTGGGATGAACACCCAAGACAGAGTATGCCTTGTTAGTTTAGCCACTTGACCACTCAGAAGCCTCCAAAATATTCAGAATTTTTTCATAATTTTTCAGGAATTAGGCTGAAACCTCTATATGCTCTGTTTGGACATGTTTTTTTTTACTCGTGCTCTGTTTGGACATGTTTTTGTACTCGTGCTCTGACCATGTAATTTTTTTCTTACTGATGTGTGCATATAATGTTAGCTGATCTTAAACTTTTTCACAAATTTACAACTTTTGACAAACCTGTGCTATTAAAATTTATGCGACTGTGCTAATTTGTATATATCTTGTATAACTCAAAAACTATTAGTCGTAGAATACTGAAATTTGGAATCTTGGACTGCTAAAACATCTAGTTGTGCATCTCCCTTTTTTTTTTAACTGTAATCGGCAGTATAACACATATACACCCACTCCCTTATCGAACTTAAAATTACTGTAAAATAATTTTATAGCCTGTACACGGAAGTTGTCATACTCACATCAGATTTTTTAAAACAGTGCTAACCTGCATAAAACTGCTGGCACCATCATGAAGCTGTCCCTTTTCGTGTATTTAGGAGACAGACTGTCTTAGTAATCTTTAAATAAGTATCTAAAAATATGCTCAGATTAAAAGAATAGGACTTAATGTTAAAATAGGGATTACATGAAATATATTCTGGGACATGCTTTTAATTGTTTCCATTTATAATAGATTACATAGAGATGACAATTTCTAAAATGAAATAAGGTGACATGTTTCATCTCATTACTTTCCCTGACAGTGAGAACGGAACTCTATTTTTTTAGTAATTGGTTACATTGCTATGATAGGGAAAAACTATACCAGAGTATTATTTATTGGCAAATGTAGCATAAAGATTAAAAAATTCCCTTACTACATTAGTATTTAGTGCTCCTATGAAACTTGATTATGCGAATTTCGTTTTAGGCATTTGAATTTAATTTTAACACTTAATTTTGCATTACTGAAATTTAAAAAAAAAATTATAGCACTTTTCAAATTAATATTTTGAAAATTAATAGTTCTCAATTCTCTATTGGTTCCATATATATTTGAGAAGACTTGTGTCAAATTTCGAAATTTAATGTAAAAGTAGATTATTAAAATAATGTATATTATTATCAGTCATTTTGATTTTTGTAGGCATTTTCAATAACAAAAATAAGATGTAAAAGTATTTTTTATAAGCAATGGGAAAAAGCTATATAAAAAATACAAAATACATTTTAGGACTTTTAATTATTGATAACAAAGTGAAAAAAGAATTCCTCCTCCCATCTAAGTTAAGAATAATAAAGTACCATATCCAAGATACATTTTAATTTCTGCTGAATAGCATTTAAATTCCATTGACTTTTCTCTGAATAATAAAATAAAGAGTTCGTTTTTTAAAAGTAGTTGCTACTTCTAATTTATGTATCATTTGTTTTTATTTATTTAAAAAGGTTTATTTCCATTTACATGAGATGCATCAAACCAAAATTTTAGAGACTTTATATCAATTAGCATATATTATTTTTTCAATAGGCAAAATTATTTACACTATTAAAGCATTAGCTCAACAAAAATACTTCTTAAAATCACTTAGAAAAAATAAAATTTAAGTTTCAATATATTTTAAAAATACCTTTAGCTGTGAAACAATAAAGTAACCAAAAATAAATTTATGGAAATAAAATGACCATTAATAAAAGGAAATTTCATTGAGATTGATACATAAGTAGAGTACCTATAAAGCAAAATACAGGTAAATTGTTATGAACGTGCACAACATTGAAGTTGTAATCTGAAACAAAAAGGTAGCTGCCTATTACTGCTTGTGTTCTTTCGAAAGGTAAACCATATAGGAGTAATTTATTTTTGAAATTTGCTGTGTTATTTGATCATTCAATACATAATACTAAACATTCTAAATTTAAAAAAAAAAAAAAAAAAAAAAAAAAAAAAAAAAATTCTAAAATTATTTTTACTTTTCATTGTAGTAATTGCTTTAATATAAAATTTTACAATATTAAATTCACACATTTTTAGAAAGTTGATTTACCTTAAAGACCAACATTTTGGTTTCTTATTTTAGCTTATCCCATTTAATAAACTGTAGAAAATTTCAACATGCAAATGGATAAAAAAAAAGTTTGGATGGTGTTTTTTAAGTTTAACTATGTTTGATACATATATATTCTATTTTACTGCTATGTAACTAAAAGTGGTGGTATATGAAAAATGTGTGTTTTTTAAAAGGCATTTTTACTTTCATAATGCGCATATATTATTTGCATATTATTATAGAAACATGATACTAAATAAATGTATGTATAATCAATGAATATATATGTAGATTTACCTGAATATTTAGCAAATTTATACCTATATGCATAGAAAAAATAGGTAAAATTAACACAAATTTCTACAAAAAGTATACATGTATGGTAGGTAAAAAAAAAAAAACTGCGCGGATTTATATTTTCATATAAAATACATGAATGAAAAAATTGGGAAGATTTAAGTATATGCGATAAATATACATAAATCATTAAAATATACATATATTTAAATAGAAAAGCTATGAATAACGTACAATCATTCACATGAAAACTCCTGAAATTTATGTACAACTTACATACTTGCATCTTAAAAATACATATAAATATCTACTGTTTTTTCTGGGCATATTTTATAATATTTTTACACTCAAGCTTGTATGTTTTTTATACAAAGGGCCATTTGTAAATTGCATGTATTTTTCCTGTGAAATTTACAAATGCATGCTACCCAGGATGAGTATGCAGAACAAATATGAAATGATATAAGGTCAGGGCTGGTGCCATAGCCAGCGAGGCAGATCTTTTTAAAATTTAGTGAAGCATTAAGTAAAAAAAATCTAGGAATGGCAAAATTTTTAGAATTTAGGGCAGGCACGGAGGAATGTACGGTGTACTGAAACATATATGATGATAACAAATTGTTGAGTTTCCATCTTTTTTGCTTTCTTTGATTGCTTCAATGCTAGTCTAGCAGAAAGATAAAATAGAGGTATGATAAACATGTTAAAAGAAAGACTTCTAGGATCAAAAGTTTAAAAAAGTTTTGTTTTTCACCATTTTTCCAAAAATTCTCCAAAAGATGCAAAATTAATCACAAATTTTCTATAAAACATGTCCACTATGTGTTAACAACAAGAAGCTACTTTTCCTTTCATCACATTTTCCTGCAAATTGTAGGTCTATAAATCTTGCCTTCAAATCCTAAATCTTCTCAGGTGCAAGGTCTAAAATCCTGAACAAAAATTATGCCTACCAACTCTGTAACATCAAAAAGACAGGAGACTTTTTTCGGGGGTGGGGGTGGACTTCAGAAAACAAAAGTGTACGTGAATTTCCAACAGAAAGCTGATACAATTACATGGAAAAACTCTTATCAAGAAAAATATAAAAGAAAATGAAAATTTTTTAAATAATGTGAATTTCCAACAAAAAGCTGATACAATTACATGGAAAAACTCTTATCAAGAAAAATATAAAAGAAAATGACAATTTTTTAAATAATTACAAAAGCCTTTTGGTTTTTCTAAGAAGTGTTTCGGAAGCTGTGCTTTACAGCATTTTATTATCTTGTTTATATTTCAGAATCAAAATATTCCTACATCAAAAATGGAAAGTGATGTCACTTTAAAATATGGCAAGAGAAAGTAAAAATGTTTTATTTTAATGTTACTTCTTAAATACAATTTTAATATATTATCATTATATTTATAATATTTATCAATGTTATGTTTGTAAAAAAAAATCAAAAAAGGGGGAGGACTCGCAAATCTTCGAATAAAACATTTTGTATGCAAACTGATCTTGCAATTGCCAGCATGACGATAAGATGTTAAATTTAGCATCACATAATAAAAGAATTCATATCCCAAAAAAGGGAAAAAGTGCTTTTGATGTAATATTTTATATAAACTCGTCATTCGGGGAAAAAAAAAAAAAAAAAAAAAAAAGATATGCTTATGTTTCAATCGAGGCAGGGCCTCATGCCTAGAACTGCAGTATCTACCATTTATATGAAGAGGAAAGAAATCAAACACTCACCCATGAAATACATATTTGTCAGTGCATCACGAAAAATATTCCTCCAAAATGTTAATTCACACTCAAAAATCAGACACAAATGTCAGACGAGTAACTTTTTGCCGATTTTGGAAAAATCGTTTCCAAAAAAACCTAAAGACTTTTAAGTACTTATAAGGACTGTAAGAATCCTCTAATTATTTTAAAAAATCTAAGGGCTTTCTAAGGACGAACACCATACTAAACCTTTGATAAATTTCGTTAGATTTTGTTTTTTTATGCTGAAACAACTGGCTGGGTTTGGAATTTTGAATACAAAATCTAATAAGAATATCAGCTCTGAATAACTCTCCACTCAAAAGGAATCTGAATGCCATGAAGCCATCCTGTAACATAGCATACAAGCTTATTTAAATTTTGGTCTAAACTCCAGGGAGAAAAGAAATTAGAAAAGTGGGTAATTGGAATTATGTTTTGGTCTGTCAACCATAAAACCATATCTTAAATTCTATAGAAAACAAACATAAATCCAGACTAATGGGTGAATGTTAAAATAAAATAATAATTAAAAATTTCAATCACATATCAAATAAAATGTTACGCATGTCATTAACTGAAAAAAATCAATTACTGGTTTACTATATAAATAGCATAATACTAATAATCATGCTAATAATCCTTAGATGAAACACAACAAAATTTAGCAGATGAAACATCACTAAAATCTCAGGAACAAACACTGAAGAATACTACTTCATCTACTAGGCATTAAATGCTTTTCTTGGCTATTGTGCTTGGCCTAAACGTTATACCTGTCAAGAGACAGCTAAATTTCTCATTTTTTTAATCACCTCCATGAATTTCTTAGTATAACACAACACTTTTATCAACAATTATATAGACACTTCAGCAATCTCTTTTACTTTTCGAGCTCAGAAACACGACAGAATCTACTGCACTCTCAACCATGTTTAACTTCGGAAAACTATTTATTACTTCTTATATTCCTTGTCATAATCCTCTTCCTTGATTTTCAATTGGCTGCTTTGTGAATATAGCCACATTGCATTCTCACAGCTTAGCTTAAATACTGGAGCATTCCAACACTTTACTGCTATTTTCTTTGTTGATTTCCAATTGCAGTTTCCTCTAGTTCTACCATTTTCTTGGCTTTCAAACAGTTTACATTTTAGATCAAAAGTAAAAACTTGTTTGTACATCTGGGTGTTTTATGTTGAACAGGTTAAGCTAGAAAGCTCCCCCCCCGTCATATATTTAATCTTCAATTCCATTAGAAGAATTTGTTACTGATAATATATTTCTACCAGCTTAACAAGAAACACACTTAGAATGAAAAGAAAGCAAAACTCCAAACAATTTCCTGAAATATATAAACCATCATCTTTTTTCTTTCTTGAAAATAAAGACATAAAGTTAAGAAAAATTAAAGCAATAAATCTTACCTTCTGTGGGTCGGTCAACAGTATACCAAAGCTTAAATCTATCTTTGTGTGCAGCAGCAATATCTTCTAATTCAGATCTTAGCAAAATATCATCTTCGGTCTTCAGGGAAGAAAATATAATATTTACTTTTTGATAACTTTTGTTGCATCAAAGTGTTACAAAAATTAACATTATTACCACAACAATGCCCTTGTATCTGCACATTACATATTCCAAGACCTGAAGATATGTTACACCAGAGATAACAATGGATACTACATTTACTGGACAGACACTGCTCGACATTGAAAATGCAACACCAAGAATGAGTGGTTAGAAAGTGATGAAATTTCGAAAAAGGACAGAGACAGCAAGCATCAATAAGTGATCTTTTCAAAATGATAGAATACAGAGCGAGAACAGCTTTGGCTCAGTAGGACGTAAGACCACCACGGACAACGATGCACGAAGAAACACGTCTAGGCATAGAGTCAGTAAGAGTGTGGATGGTGTCCTGAGGGATGGCTCTCCATTCCCTTTCAACCATTTGCCACAGCTCATCTTTTGAACGAGGCAGAGGCAGAGTCTGAAAACGTCATCCAATCACATCCCACACGTTTCATTGGTGACAGGTCAGGAGAGTACAGTGGCCAGGGAAGCATCTGTATACCTTGCAGAGCATGTTGGCAGATGCGAGCACTGTGTGGTCGGGCGTTACCCTGCTGAAAAATTGCATTAGGCAGCCCTTGAAGGTAGGGTATTGCCACCGGCCACAGTACATTATCCAAGTATCGTTGGGCCATCATAATGCCCTGAATACGAACTAGAGGTGACCTGGAATCATCAGCAATAGCGCCCCAAACCATTATGCCACGTTGTCGCGTGATGGGGCATTCCACAGTTACTGCCAGATTAGATGTCTCTACGTCGATGCCACACACATATGCTGCGACTGTCGCTGGATAAACAGAAGCGTGACTCATCTGAGAACACGTTTCGCCATTCTGTCATCAACATCGCTCCAGTCCGGCACCATTCTAAACGTTGGCGTCTTTTCTGTGGGGTCAATGGAAGTCTTCTTAACGGACGCCGTGAGTGAAGGCCACATTCAACCAATCGATGGGAAATGGTTCTGGTCGACATGGAAACATCCAGGGTATCTTGCACATGCTGCAGAATCGCAGTACAAGTGACTTGCTGGATCTCCACAACTTTTCGGCGGATGCATCGATCCACGGGTGCTGACGTCACTCTGCACCTGCATCCCTCCTTCTTCCCACATTTCCTTGTTCCAAACATGTTCGCCATAGCCGATGCACCGTGCTCGCATCCATGTGGGTATCAGCTGCGATTTGACGTAAGGCCAACCCGCCCTTCTCAGTCCGATCACCATACCCCTCGTAAAATCGTCTATCTGCTGGAAGTGCCTTCATTGATGGCGGCCTGGCATTCTCACCTATTACACGTATCCTCCGGGACAAAAACCAACTTTCTTTGATAATTCATCTGGCAGAAATAACGACTCGAATATTGCTCATTCCGCACATTCCTTCCCTTATATCTTACTTCATGTGTGTAGGAGAGCTGCGCATTTCACATCATTTGCATAACTCAGTGACGTGCGTCAACTCTAAAATTTTGCATAAATTTCTGACCACTCCTTCTTGATGTTGCATTTTCAATGTTGAGCAGTGTACATGACATTTATTGGACAGATAATAAATATAGTTTAATTTATTGAACTGCGCGTGTGAGGACATTACCCACATTATGTAAAGTTTAATGGATGCTACATTACATAATGTTCTACCAAACAAGGTAATACAGAGTATAAACTCTTTTAAGCGGTTATCACATCTAGCAATGCTAGGCAGGACATTTCCGAGAAATGAGATTCTTGTAACACTGGTTTAAATGAGAGGATTCCGAGAAAAGCCAGTACCACCGTAAGCAATATTCCGTCTGGCCAAGGAAATGATGTCCCAGTTCTGCTTCTGAAGGATTTCCAATAAGACAATGGCTGTAGTTTGAGGTAGAATATGAATAAGGCATATGATAAAAATTGAAGCCAATTTTGTTGAAGAAATATGAAAAAGCTGTATTTTTATAATACAACCGTCTAAGTCATTTAAAAAATGTTTTTATACTGATTAAATTTATAATTGTGAAAATTTCAAGACAGATTATTATTAGTCTTATACTTTTGATGATTTGTTAACAAATGTTTTGTCCCCAAAAGTTTGCCAAATTTGTTATATTTTGTACTAACCCATAGCATACCATGTAGAAATATTCTCATTATTATATAATGGAATTTCCTTTATTATATTTAAGGTGAATAATTTTTAAAAATATGTGCATACATATATATGTACGACTTTACATTTTTACTAATTACTTATCATTTAAATTGTTTATTGCATAATCAATGACATTGTAAACATCAGAGTTGTACAAGGTGCAATAAAAAAAGAGACAAGTCCAATAAATCATTGTACTTACAGAATCAGTTCTCCATGACATTATCACCTTCACCATAGTTTCCTTCAGCATTCCTGCATTCGGTGCTGCCACTGCTGGTAATAGTTCCAAAACAGGGTTTTCAGAGGGCCCTTCAGGAAATTCTCTGTTTTTGCCCGAACCTTTTCAGCTGAGGTAAAATGTGTTCCCTTTAAGTATTAACTTTAGAAAATAAAAAAAGTCGCATAGAGCCAAAATAGGTAAATAAAGAGTGTGCCACATCACAGTAATGTTTTTGCAGAGCCGTGTCAGCGGGTGCATTGTCCTGGTGCAACAGACATCCATCACTCTACAACTATGGCCTTTTTTTTTTATAATATTTTCACGAAGTATTTTTAGTACTTCAATGTAGTAGTGTTGATTAACATTCTGACCACTGGGAACCCTTTCATTCACGTTCATCATCTTCCACAGTGTCCCTTCCCCCTGAAAACCGCTTTTGCCATTTAAATACACGTCCATGAGACAAAGTTTCATCTCCATAAGCCTTGGTTAACATTTGAAATGTTTCCTCCATGGCTGATTTCTTAAGTTTCGCAAGAAACTTGATGTTGATTCGCTGTTCTGTTTTTAAATTAGACATATTTCAGGCAAAATGCAGTTGCACATGTTCACTCAATGATGCAGTACATTCCACTGGCGTGGTCAGTTAAGTCAAAACCAGCAGCACAGATAGGGAAGGTGTGTGGCATGATATCACCAAAACAGTTGTTACCAACTCCACTGTTTTCAAGCTACACAATTCTTCTTCTTCTTCTTTCTTTTTTTTTTTTTTTTTTTTTTTTTTTTTTTTGTGTGTGTGTCACACCTCATATACAAAAAGAAAGGATTGCTTATGTAACGATGAGAATAATAATTAAAGGCACTTTTCCGTTTCGCCAGCGCAAATCTCGCCAAGCAGACTTTATCGGCCACAACACAGAGTATACACATAAAAAAAATGTTAACAAATGTTAGTTCTAAGAATTTTTTATTCTAAAGGCATAAACATTTTAATATCGTTTAAAATTTTGTAAAAAGACAATAATTTAAGAATTTACTATGCTTTTATGGTACAACATCCTGATTCACCTGTTCATATCATGACCCCAAGTGATCTAATCTCACGTAAACTAAACTACAAAAATCTAATTTTCTCAGTAATTATCTACATTAACTTCAGGTTAATCTTAATATGGAATATAAGTTTAAATGCAAGAATTATTTCAATTCGTACGAATAGCTTACTCAGAAATTATGTAAAACCGCAGTGCTGTACTTCGCTAGTGCATTCTCATTAGAATTGATGAATTTAACCCTTTGCCTTTTCTGTATTTTCACCTTCGGGTGAGGGGTGTGATTGCATCCTAATTCACTTAATTACCAGAAATGGTCTTAGGACATAAAATTGAACTATCTGGTAAAAATCCTATGTAATTGTATGTCAGTATTGAAAGAAACAATCAATCTGATAAGAAATGGCTGTGATTTGTTTTGAAAACGAGGTGTAAAAGGTTGCCAATGAGGATATTCTGTTTGGCATCGGCTGTACCAATTTTGGCGACTTTATCACATGCGCCAGCAAAATAGAAAAGTACTCAATTAAATTTGTATGCTATTATCTGTTATTAATGAAATACTTTTTACATTATAAATACATTAGAAACTACATTTTTATTATAAATGCTGCAGACTGATATATTTCAAATTTATGGATTTATTATTATGTGCAATGCAAAACATTTGTACAGTCAAAAGTCATTAATTCGGACACCCATAATCCGGAACTCAAAGCTACAAACTTTCTGTGCGTGCGTCACATTGACACATGCGCGTAATACCTTTACGACTGCGCATGCGCATAATACGTTTACGCAGGCGCATTTAATGTATAACGGACGGTATAAGCTAAAATTATCTATTTCAGTTAATGTTGCAGATTGCGTTGTTCCTTAATCTTCGAACTGGATCTGGCTTATTATTTTTTGCAGACTGTTAGAGCAATTATTAAAGTAAGCTTGAACTTTCGATTATGTCAAATAGAATTTCCGATATATATTTACTATTATGTAAAGGATCTACAAAGCGAAAGTATGTTTCGATGTCCATCAAACAAACAGTGGAATTGCTGCAAAAAATGGATAAAGGCATATCCTTTTTGTTTCTCTAACCATTCCGAAATCTGTTTATTAATTTCACGCTGCTCTGCAAGGGGGGGATGTCGCGGCGCATAATGAACTGGAAGTTGATCTGTCAGCACTATCCTTATCTTCAGTTCAGATGTTTTTATTTTATTCAGCTTATAATTCCTTACTATATGTAGTATTTCATCTCGATGTATTCCGTCTTTGATATGATTTAAATCAAATTCCTCGTCATTATAAATATCACGAGTACACACCGAATAGTTTTCTGGTTGCAATTTTCTAATTTCGACTATGCGTAATGTATGCTTCACGCATGCGCGCGTTGAAAGAAATGTTTAATAAAGGAAACTAATAAATATTAAGCTTTTTTTTTTGTAATTTTTGATACCCTTTAGATCATAATTGTTCTTTATTTCATAAATTACGGTTTCATATTTTTAATTTCATAATTTCTGCATGCCATCTTACCAGATTTAAACTGATGATCTATAATCCGGAAAAACCGATAATCCAGAATCGTCGAAGTCCTGATGTGTCCAGATTAATGACTTTTGACTGTATATACAATCATTAATATACATCTTATTCACTACATTAATACTAAGAAACATACATCAACAACGCTTAAACCATCATATCTCTCTGTATGTATATGTAACCATATGACTTAATTATGTGAGTATTTTATATGTATGTATGCACATAAAAATGAAAATCGTTAGAAAGTTTATTTGAAGTCATTTCTAATTAATTCATATATCATTATGCAATTGACAGCAATTGTATTTATCAGTTCTTTGCACATTCTGATTATGAAATACTCAATTGAAAAATAACTGATGAGCATAGACACTAAAGAGTGCACACTTTTTGTTTTGGGGATACTACACAATTATATCACATGTATGATTTACATGGTATAAACATAACTTATAAAATGACTTGTGAAGATGTAAATATCAACTTTACAGATTTTTCATACTGTATGCAATAAAATCAGCAGTTTGTACCCCACTCACTCCAGATTGTAATGGGGCCATTTTAAACCTGAAAACATGGGTTATAAATCGCATCATAGTTACAGTTAGCATAACCGTTGTCTGAAAATTTTAAATCATTGAGAATTGAGATTGGGATGATACACACAGAACAAGAAATATCAGTTCACATGGTCATGACAGAGAAGAAGTATCAGTGACACAGTGAAAATTACGTAAAATGAGCAGAAAATGAAAAAGACAACTATAAAGGCAGCAGGCCAGTCACTTTGACATATTGCAATGGCATTTACAAGTTGGGAAGACTAATGCTTGATTAATAATAAATGTTTTTTTAAGTATGCATAGCCAGCTTAAAATGTCTCTCAACTCTAAACAGAATTTGTAATGAAAAATTTTCATCTTGAGTGTGCCATTTTTAAAACCCCAGAACAAAGGTCATCTATAAAAGGAATCTTTGTCCTGTAATATTTGCACCCAAGAAAAGCTGTATCAGAATGCATGCAGGATGTCCTCCTGGCACACTGAGTGATGGCTTAATGAACACCTGATGATGCTTTCTAACCACTGGATCAACTGATAGAAAGCCTGGTCAAGGGTGCCCCAAAACACAACTGCATCAGAAGACCGTTTTCTGTTGTTGTCGGCTCGAAGACACTGCAAAGTGACTGCAAGAGATTTGGTTTTAGTCTGCACACAGAAACTCGAATTAACTATTCTACTGCTGCATGAAGGCTTAACAAGGTTGGACTGAATGCAAGAAAACCAACGTTTTGTGTCCTACTCACTCCAGATTCTAGAGGGGCCAGTTTAAACTGGTGTCATCGTCATGTCCAATGGAGCCAAGACGACTAAGCCAAAGTATCCTTTACTGATGAATCTGAGCAGTGATTATAGATATGTTTTGATCTGAAGAAAGGAAGGAACATGAAAACTTGCCTCTCTTGTTGATGAAATATCCTGTTAATGTGATTGTGGTTTAATGCTTTGGGGAAGAATCATGACAAATGGCTGCACCAAGCTGCATATTTTTCAAGGAGATTCTGTAACCATACGGAGATGTTTAGGAGCGCTGCTGGACCAAGTTTTTTGCTTATGAATGACAATGCTCAACCGACTGACAATGCCACCTTGCTCAACCGAATGAGCATATGTGGAATGTCTTAGGACACTGAATTTCAGCACACCCAATTCCTCCATGGACAATCCAGGAGCTGAAAAGTGCACTTTTAGAAGAGTGGCATGCAATTCCACAAGACTTGATCAGCATGGTAAAGTCTATCACAATGTGAGACTGAGATGACAATATACTGTATTAAAGAAAAAAAAATTTCAACAAGAGGTGATTTAATTTTTCCAATTTCGAATTAAAACCAGATTTATGGTTTTAATTTCAGTATTTTTCAAATAATCAACTGCCAAACACTGTATTTATGTTTTGTACAAATTTCTATTAATAATGTTTCATTTAAGTATCAGTTACTTTTTATTTGTCACCATGATTTAACTTTAATGGCCAGTGTACAACAACTATGGTGCTATCACTTCATTCACTATATCGGTGTGCTGTCATATGCATTGTCTTACTTTTTTTCCTGCTGTTTAAAGATCATTATCTACTGTTCATTGTTCCACAGACATGACATTCCAATGTCTTACTACTATCTTTTGTCATAAAGAATTTTGTGACATTGCAAAATCTTGGCTTTTGAACTGGAAATGTTCATGATATGGTTACATTAACTACAACTATGACACATTCTACACGTATTTTCAAAAGTATCATGGTAAGAAGTCGTTTTGTTAAAGTTGCAGCTGATCCCTTGCTTTCTGTGCTACAGAGACAGCCATTCAATATATGTGTAAATTCAGCAGACTAATAAGTATCTGAGAAATGTTCTGTAATCTACGAATGCATATGATTCTGCACAGACTAATTTCAACCTCACATTTGGTCATATACATCTAAAATTTACACAACTGTTATTTGGATAACAGAATTGGGCAGCTTTGAATTGGACAATACTTAAGTATGTTATGACTAGTGCTCACTTAGCATATATCAGGAAAACCTTTTTTTTACCTCTGGCTAATAAACTGCAGATACAAGGGCATAACTGAACTGAAAACAAATTAAAATTTATAAAATGTTTATATAAAATATTCTTGGAACCTACTACATACCTGATTAGCAAAAAGCAATGACATCTCTAAATTATCTTCAGGATCTTTCAGAGCATGTTTAATCAGTTGCAACATTGGTGTTATACCTGTAAAATATATAATTTTAAATATATTCAGCAAAATTAAAAAAAATATGATAAAAATTCTTGAAGATTATTATCATATTAATTCTTAATTCCAAACAATATTTAGGGAATTTTTGTGTTTAAGAATTATTCTATGTTTTTAAAAAAAATTTTCAAAAAATAATAACAAATTCAAAATGCACAACAAGTACATTACATGAACTGATAAAAATGGTTGGAAAAAAATTTCATCAAGAATTTTAATGGTAAAGCATAATATTTATACCAGCATTCATTAAAAATCTTTCCTAAAATGAGATCATGAGAAAATCATGAGAATGGTTCTGGTTTGGTTTGGTTGTTAGATTACGGCAAAGAACTCAAAGGCTTCTTTCTGTGGAAAGAGATGCCTTCATGGATGATTCATTAAGGGAAATTTTCTTGCAGCTACTTATACATGACATAATGATAATAAAAGTTTAAAAAAATGCATGAAATGGTTATAAAATCACAAATTCTTTGTTATTAATGCACTTACTTCATGATTTGTGGAAAATCTACGTGATGAAACAACATAACTAACTCAAAATCAAATGAAACAACATAACTCAAAATCACAGTTATATACATGACAGAAAATACATCTAAAAGAATAAAATATAGTACTATTGTTATATGGATTGTACCAGGGCGGGGAATTTGTAATGTTGCTTTCTTGGAAATGTTTTTCTCCCCCCTGCAAAACTAGGTGCCAACAGGTAAATGAAATGTGATTATTATGCATAAGGGAAAGAAAAAAAGTAGGACTTTTTTCCGATTCTTCAATGGCCTGCAAGAGGGATATTTTGCTCCTAGGGTTTTAAACTTGCCAGGTATATACATGGCATACTTTCAGCCATTTAAAAATAACCATAATGATGTATTTTTCAGACCTGCATCAAATATCCCCGAAAGCAATAGCTTATTTCACATAATATCTATTAAAATAATTTGGGAAACCTAGTAAAATAGTTTGTGAAAAACTAAAACCCAATTTTAAAATTGAGCCGAACTTTAAAATGGCATACTGATGATGATACTCAGAGTAAACAGAAAGACTTGTTTACAAATGTAGCAGCAGTTCACATGTATCCATTACTAAAAAGGATTGAGGAATACGATGGTTGAGTAAGCAGTGTGAACATACAGGGAGTGCATCCTAGGTCATACTAATCATCCATCAGCACGGTTGATTAATAATTAACACAGTATTATTGCTCCTTAAAAAAGAAGCCTCTCGTAACTATTTCCTTCAAAATGTATACTTTTTCTAAAAAGCCAGCATGAATAACTCACTACATTTTGCTCAATTTTGAATAAATTACTCCCAAATAAGATTCCAAGAATTACAAAATGGCATAAAATTATATGTCAACATCTCATCATTATATCATTTGGCATACACAAGAGGACAGAAGAAATATATATCATGTCTACAAAATTTTTACCCAACATTTATTTTTGCAAGTGTTGGTCATAGACACATACTTTCAATTACAGAAGTGTTTACAATGATGCAATTATTCGTGCATTTTCAAATCAATATATACACATATATAAATATGAAAGGAAATTTCAAAAAATGAAATTTCATATTATACATATATATATATATAATATGAAATTTAGCTTTTTATATGTTCCTTCAGTCCCTGTATTTTAGGAAATACTGTACTCATGATAAAAAATTAAAAAAGTATAAATTATATATGAATGAAACTGGCAGAAGTATTTAGTTTTGAAGTTTCAGATAGCTTTCCTAGAATCCTCAGGATTGCCTAGCGCATAAAAAGCAGACAGCAATATTTAAATTTGTATGTAACTAAATTTTTTTTTAAATCTTAATTTTTAGCACCAAATGCAAATGGCTATGGACTGCTGCAAAATTCTTTAAATAAAAGAATGAATCTGCATATTCTTTTGAATTTGAAGAAAAATTAAAGATGGAACAATGTTTTTTTTTTTTTTTTTTTTTTTTTTAATTATTATTATTATCAGCAACTACACACACACACACACACAAAAAAAAAAAAAAAAAAAAAAAAAAGTTTGCAAAATGCTATAACAAAAAGCAAGAATAAATAATTCATGAAAAACTAGAACACAGCCTCTTCAGTACAAAGTTTTGGATCCAAAATAACAAGTACTTTCACAATTCCAGATTTCAGAAATTTCCAGATGTTAGATTATCAGTTTAAATTTAGTAGACATTTATTTCAATGCAAGTTATTTAAGCTTCTTTTTTTGTGTGCGTTATTACATTCTCTTAATTTTACTGACAGACATAATATCTTATTCACATAAAAAGTTCCACCTGTCGAGTCCACTATTTGTCATGTTGAGAATTCTCACTTAACTGTCAATCAAAATTTTTTCATTCTCAGAAACCTCTCTGCCATTTTCTTCATTATCGGGATAGACATTTTCTGGATGAAAATCATACTACGGATTTCGCCGTCTGTTAGCTGATTGCTGTTGGGGCACTATCACTATAAAAATAAACTTCTGCTATCCCATCTTCATTTATTATAAATTTTGCAAATTTTATTAATTGGAAAATATTTCTAAAGCATTCAAAATCTATACAAAAGTAAGGTTGTTGCTCTGCCAAATTTTGAAATTGCACTTTCCAAAGCATGAACTGTGTCAGCACCAAAATAATTATAGAAGCCAGCTAACAAATATGCCTTCACTTTGCAAATCTTAGTACAACTCCAGAATTAAAAACACTTTTTGATATAATAGAAAATTCAAACTTTAATTTTGATTAGATAGCTGTAAGAATAATAGGCTGAAAAAATAATAAGCTAGGTGAAATTAGAAAGTTAAAGAAGAGTGAAGTTTGCCATGTGAACTCAAATTTAAGCTCTTTGAAATCTAATTCTTATCTCTTACACACTACTATGAATCCTCAGGAGCCAATTAAAGAAAATTATGAAAACCCATCCCACTTCAAAGAAATACATATTGGGGCTTTATTTATTATTCAAATCAGACAAATGATGATTCTCCTCAACAACCACTCAAGGTCAAAAGCGTGATTGTGGCTAACAGCAGTGTTCTGTTATTGGCACAAAGGAATCTCAATCAATTGGGTGAAAAACTGCTTTCATGGCTTACCTGCTTTTTAGTATTACAGTCTCCATTCCTACTCTATAAAAAGAAAAAAAAAACTACCTTGATTAAAGGCAGTTATTATAATAGGTATTCCGGATATTAGATCATTCCAGATATTGCATGTCCAGGTTTTCGACTATATTAAGAAAAACAGACATCCTTATAATTCAAAAGAAAATCAAAATGAGAAATTCTAAGACAAAACATAGGTTTCACTAATTGAATGGTTTTAGTATAATATTTGTTTGAAATGTCTGCTCTCAGGTGCTATATGAATTTTGTCCATAAAATAATGATTTCTTGTACTACCTTAATATTGAGTCATATAAAAAGTCTCTGTGTTTTTTTGCCACTAGATGGTGTTGATGCCTATATATCTAACAACACTCACCGAAATGTTTCAAACGAACATGTGTTTAAAAGGTGACATTCATCTTCCATTATTTGTGAAAATAGTTTTCTAATTCATTGCTTGTGTATAAAGTTATATTGATTTGAAAATGAATGAAATATCTGAAGAAATACTTTATGTGATGCTTTTTTACTATAAATAAGGTAAAACGGCTACAAAAACATGCCAAAAAATTTGTGAAGTGTATGGTGAGAATGCTGTGAGTGAACGAAGGACCAGGAGTGGTTTGCTCGATTCCGTTCCGGAAACTTTAATATCAAAGATGCACCTCGCTCTGGCAGGCCAGTCACTGAAAAGTTGCAACTGGTGGAGCAAGATCAGCACGCAAGCTGTCAGGAAATAGCAGAAGCACTAAACATCAGCCACATGACATTTTGAAATCATTTAAAAAGAGCAGGTTGCACAAAGAAGCTCAATATTTGGGTGCTGCATAAATTGCAACTTGGCAAAACCATCAATTCGGCTCTGTATTGTGCACAACTCGACCGTCTGAATGAAGCAATACAGAAAGAGCAACCAGAACTGGGCAAAAGAAAGGGAGTTGTGCTCCATCATGACAATGCACAGCCACACACATCTTTGATGACTTAGAACAAATTGACGGAACTTGGTTGGAAAGTTTTGATGCATCCACCATATAGCCTGAACCTTGCACCGTCTGACTACCATTTTCTTTGGTCTCTGGAAAACTCTCTTGATGGTAAAAAACTGGCTGACCGAAGAGCCACTGAAAATCACTCACCCAATTTTTTCGATGATGAACCACAGTAGTTCTATACCGATGGAATTATGAAGCTACCTTCAAAAATGGCAAAAGACCATAGATAATAATTGTCAATATGTACTTGATTAAAATTGATTTTTCAATAAATAAAATTTTTGTTCAAAAATGTACCAAAAAAGCACGGAGACATTTTATATGATCCAATGTAACTGATGTTACATATGCACTCACAGCTAGTGCATGATTGAACATGTTTGAATCATTTGTTGATTTCCCTTCACAAATCTCATTTTTCAAAACTCAAAGAGAATAAAATCTAGTGGGTTTAAGTCAAGTGATCATGGTAACCATGCCACTAGATCCCATATTCAATAATATTATTTCCAAATATGCTTCTAAAAATTTTTTGTTGTCCTGCGAACTTATACGCTAGGGCACAGTCTTGCTGTAATCACACAATTAACAAATCTTTCAGTGAGACATTATATGCTAAAAAGCTCGACAATAATCTATTCAATATTTTAAATTTAATTTACATGTATTTCTCACCGATTAAAGTGCCATAAAAAATTAATGGTCCATACAGTGTTTCATTCTATAGCACTCATAGAAGGCAAAAATTATAAATAAAAGATATATACATACATCAGTGGTGCCCAGCCGGTACAGTAGTTAGTGACGCTGATTGCCATACCACTAGGCCTGGGTTCAAAACCCAGAGAAGCCATGAATTATACATGAAATCTTTCATCATAACTATACTGCACCAAATTACATGGGAGTATTAATTAATAAGTCAATATGATTAAGTGAAATACATTGCCAAGTAAAAATTCCAATATATTGAATCAAGTGTCCACAGATCACATTCAAAAGATACCTAATACATCTTTGCTGCAACCATGGCAGAATGAATAAGCCCCCCCCCAAAGGCAACGAACAAAAAGAACTTTCCCTTTGAAAAAAGAGTAGTAAGCCAAAACGAGAGAAAGAAATTATAAAATTATGTTTAGCAGAAGTGACCAAACTTCATGATACTTTCAGGATTATTCAAAAGCCATACATTTTTCTTGCTGCAGCATAAAGTATTCCATTCACTAGAAAATTTAAATTTCTGTACAATTACTACTCATTTTTGGGCAGAAACCAAGCATTTTTTCCCCCTCGTTTCCAAATTTCCTTCCTTGTTATAATAACTGATTTTAATAAGAGTAAAAAGACAATAATAAAACATAAAACAGCATTGTGTTTGCTATAATAACATAGGAAGCTTTTTATTTGAGAAAAGGACTTGCAATTTTTCATCAATCTTAATCCACATGTACTCTTTTTGGGGAAAAAATAACCAACATAGGACAGTAAACAAAACGGAAATACAAATTCGAGATTTGAAAATTATTTTTGGTACTTTTACGTTTCGCTGGCGCAAATCTCGCCAAGCAGACTTTTTTGGCGACAACATACAGTATACACATAAAAAATGTTAACAAATGTTAGTTCTAAGAATTTTTTATTTTGAAGGCATAAACATTTTGATATGTTTTAAAATTTTGTAAAAAGCCAATAAATAAAGACAATAAATTTGTAAAAAGACATTAATTTAAGAATTTACTATGCTATCATGGTTCAACATCCTGATTTGTCAGTTCATATCACGTGACCCCAAGTGATCTCATTTCACGTAAACTACGCTACAAAAATACTATAATTCTCTCAATAATTATCTACATTAATTTCAAGTTAAATCTTAATTTGGAATATAAGTTTAAATGCAAAGATTATTTCAATTCGTACCAATAGCTTACTCAGAAATTATGTAAAACTACAATGCTTCACTTCGCTACTGCATTCTCATTAGAATTAATGAATTTAACCCTTGATTTTTGGTGATTACATCCTAATTGACCGTGAATAGTCTTAGGGCATCAAATTTAATTATCTTTGTAAATATTCTATGTAATTGTATGCGAGTATTGAAAGAAACAATCAATCTGGCAAGAAATGGATGCTTTTGTTTTGAAAATGAGGCATAAAAGGTTACCAGCGAAGATATTCCGTTTGTCATCAGTTGTACCATTATTGGCGACTTTATCGTTTGTGCCGGCAAAACGGAAAAGTCCCTTATTTTTAAATAAACTGTCAAATTTTTCAGATTTAGCAATAAAAAAAAAAAAAAAACAGCTTTGTTTTTGCTGCATTGCTAATATGAGGATCAACATACAGAAATCAAACCTCACTTTAAATGGTTTAATTTGTTTGATATGAATTAGATTATAAAATATTTATTTCTCTCAAAGCAAGTTAAAACCACAAGTATTTGCAGCACTCTTCAGTTAAATTTGATGTACATTTTTAACAAAGTACACCGCCTATACATTTGCCTTTTTCACTATGCAATTGCTGTAACCTGTTCTAAAACAGACCAGGACAGAAAGTCAAGGAACTAGAATTATATCTGTGTTTTGTTCTTTACTTGAACAGTTAGTGCACAATTTGAAATTGAATAATCTTACACAATTTTTAAAATACTAATTATTGATAGTTCAAAAGTGTCTTAAAAAGTGATTTTTGCTTCAAACTATAATTACATTTAAAAAAGCGGCATGTCTTTAGGGATCTGCTCCTGAAGATTTGTATTGAGAGCTAAATTTGTATAATTACTTTAGTCTCTGTATTTATAAACTTTCATCTACTAAGATCATATTTATATTATTAAAGAAAGGAAAATATCAAAAGCTAATATACATGAAGAGACAAAATAGCTCATGACCAGATAAAGTGGGTAATGGCACATAGGAGGTTAAACTATTGCTTGCTAATATGCAAGCTCAATTTAAGGGCCAAAGAATTGCAATTTGGCCCCACATCTGTTCTGTAGTATGAGATGGGAGCTGAACTGATAGGATAGTGATGCCCCAAATACTATCTGCTCAGGAAAAGCACAACGCTACACAAAAATATGTCAAAATGCAAATGCAATGGCCTTTCCCTAACTCCACTGTGAAACAATTTATTTTCTATGATTCACATCCAGTTTTATAACTCCTCATAGGTAAAGTTCTCCTTTTAATCACATATACATAAAATAAATAAATAAATAAATTATAAGGTATTTTTCCCGCCTTCTTAGCATGCCTTCATGGTGTAATGGCCAGCACACTCAACGTGTATTCAAGAGGTCTAGGTTTGAGTCCCTGGCATTGCTCATTTGCCTGGCGATGGCAGTGCTCATTTTTCAAACCTCCCGCTTCCAAATAACTTAATGAGTCTACAGTGGCACCTGAACTAAAAAAAAAAAAAAGGTGGTGGTTGAAGATTCTGTACCGCCAGTTGCCCTTTAAAAGGGGGGAGTACATAGGTTATTTCTCCTACCTTAGCATGCCTTCATGGTTCGAGTTCCGGGGAGAGCATTGCTCATTTTTCATCTCTCCTGCTTAAAAAAAAAAAAAAAAAAAAAATACCTAATGTCTCTACAGTGGTGCCCAAACTAAAACAGGCGGTGGCTGATGATTCTCTATCATCAAGATTTGGCGATTGGATCCTCTGATCCCCAGTCGCCGTTTAACCCCTTCCTGTGCTTTAATGAGTCTGACTCGTGATGAAGATTTTGATCCAAAGATAAACATCACGAGCTCGGCTTGTAAACATTATCATCATAACTTCACAGTCGTAATCGAACATTAGTTCCTATCAGTACACACAAGAGTTAATCACGATTCTTTATTATATAATATTTATTAAAAATATAACATATTTATAATATCTGCAAAAGGATTAAACTTTACTTCCACTATGGATTAAAGTTTACTTACTTGAGTATTGTTTATTTATGAGATGTGATTTTGAAACTGCCATTTATTATAAAATATATTTATAATATCTACGAAAGGCAGAAGGATTAAAGTTTACTTCCATGAAAGCAGTATTACGCAAAACTGACTATAACACAGGCATTTATGTTTCGGCTTGTACTGTGACTGTTCTCAAGCACCAGTCTGGCTTGTTTACCATGCATTGCCCCATAACCCTTAGGACCAAGTTTTGTTGAGGTATATGGCACGAGAAGGGGTTAAAAGGGGCAGTATATAAGGTATTTTTCCCACCTTCTTAAATGGCCAACACTTGACACGTATTCGAAAGGTCCGAGTCCCGGCAAGAGCATTAATGCTCATTTTTCAACTCTCTTGCTTTCAAAAAACAAAAACAAAACAAAACAACAACAAAAAAAAAAACCCTAATGTCCTTACAGTAACACCCAAACTAAAAAAGGTGGTGGATGATGATTCTCTATTACCAGGATTCGGCGATTGGGTCCCTTAATCCCCAGTTGCCCTTTAAAAAGGAGAGTACATAAGGTATTTCTTATGCCTTTGTGATGTAATAACCAGCACACTTGACAAATATTCGAGAGGTCTAAGGTTCGAGACCAGGCGAGGGCGTTGCTCATTTTTCATATCTCCTGCTATGATATAACATACTGTCTCGATGAAATAATGAGCTGTGAATTTATTTTTCATTCCAAAGCATCTCAAAAATACAAGCAAAATGTAAATATTGCAAGCCTACCTGTTCCTCCTGCAATCATGCCTACTCTCTTGACTACATGAACTGTTGGTTGGGATTTAGGAGTTGCTTTTACACTGAATTTTCCTAAAAAACATTGATTTTATAATCTCTATTATTAAAAACAATAACACTAAATGATAAATATAATAATACTAAAAAGAAATATCTAATGTATTTACGCAAATGCAGTTATTAATAAACAACAAACCTAGAATAAAGATAAACAAAAATGATCGCTACAGACCAATGTTTCTCAACCTCTTTTAAATCACATAGCCCTTAACCTATCATCACTCCTCCGCATACTCCACCCTCACTACGTAAAATTACGAATATCTACATATAAAGGTAAAGTAATAATACTGTTGTAACTCCTCAAGAGAAGTAACACAGAAGATTTTTATAGTTGTAAACTAAATACACTGCTCTCCAAAGGTTAAGGAACAGCATGTTTTTCAAAGCTCACCATTACAAAAATGTTAGGAACATTTAAATTCACAGTTCATATGCATAACAGTAATGGAGTTTAAGGAAATATATGCAAAAATAATAGCTACCACTTTTATTTTAAAGAAATGAATACTTACATAGGAGAAAAAATGCAAAAATTGTAATTTTTGTTCTCGAGTATTAATCTTCAGCTTTTATAAAAATTTCGTGGCCAATATCCAGGAGAGTCTATCAATGTGCCAGAGAGGTGCCCATTTATGTTGGGCAAGAGAACACGTCTCCTGGACCAGTCAACAATGGGCATCTGCTCTTTTGACAGATGAGTCTAGATTCACATTGAAGAGTGATTCAGGTTGTCAGCTGATCTGGAGGAAAGAATGCACCAGACACAACCAATCCCGCACTGTGGAAAGACAGTTACAGAGATGGAATAATGGTTTGAGCTTAAATCTCTCTCGGTGGTCACACTGACCTACATGTGTTCCATGGAGGAACTTTGACCAGTGTGAGATATTGGAAGGGTTCTTAGCCACATTTTAGTTAAAAAAATAAGCATCTATAAGCACTTTTCAAGCACATTTTAAGGAAAAAATAAGCACCTGTCTAATTACATTATACACAACTGCATAACATTAAAAGAAAAATTAAATTTTGTAATTTAAAATATGAGCAATGCAATATTTTATTAAGAGAATGAGCATTACCTCAACCATGGAAAACAATTAACTTTTCTTTTAAATTTTAAATGACAGTTCATTTCAGAATTTAAAGAATTAGTTTACAATGAGAGAAAAAAAAAACTATGCAGAACTAAACTAAATTACAAGATTTAATGATGAAATTTCATTCAAAATATAGAAATAAGTAATAATAAGCCATATTAATTGTATTCGTTTGGCACCTAATAATAAATAATTTATTTTTCCACTCTATTAATATTTTAAATAATTTAACTTAAATCAAAATTCTGAACATTTTCTAAATTTCATTGCTGTTTTTTCCCTTAACATATTCCAAGCAAAGTAATTTAAGTAAAAAGAGGCATTTCTGAAATCAGAAGACGGGGAATTGCTTCATGCAGTCATCCTTTAACAGTAAAAGCTCAACTAACCCGCATACTAGGAAATTCCCAAATATTCCGGATAGTAACTGGAAAAAAACAAGAGCAGGGAGATTGTAGCCGTTCTTTAGATTTCTCGGCTAAATACATTATTTTGACATTTCGATACGTGCATCATATAAACATAGACCAACGGAACTGAGAAATATTCTGCTTAGAAAGCACAGTAAAAGTGTTTATGTTCATAAACAAATCTCAGACTGAACATCAAAATTAATTATCTCAGCAAAATACGGCAAACGTTATTGCTCAATACATGCGGCGTAACTCTTGCACATGTGTTATTACGCAATCGGAATCAACAGCTGCCGGTATTCGGAGAAGAAAGAACTAAATAAAGGAAAAGAAAGAGACTTACTAATCTGGGGGTTTTTTTGATTAAATTTTCAACAGACTGCGGGTTAAATTTCCGGAATAGAATCAATCTTCACTTAGTTGGATATAGACCGCAAAAACTTTTAGTCCTATTCAATCCAGATTGGACAGTGACAAAAAAAAGTCCGCTGCTTCAATATTAGAGATTTTGCGAAGAAAGGGGAGAACCTCCCAACCTCCATACTGTATAATAGATTGGCCCCCCCCCAATTTTTTTTTTTTTGATTTCTTGATTACTTTCCTTTTATTTAAGACATTCCGAATATTATTCCTTAGAAAGCTAATCTGTGTAAAAACACACCCATTTTAGGAAGTTTATCTATACTTCAGCAGTTACTGCAACTATATTATTATAAATATTCATGCATATGTGCATAATATAAGCATAACAATCATAATAAACACGCATATGAATGACCACGCGGAACGAGAATGCAAATTATTAAAATCTTGATAGAAATTCAAACGTGTGTAGTATTTGTGTGGGAGGAAAAGAACACCGAATGTACTAGGATTTTCTACCATTTTCGCATTTCTTTGACCAATAGAACGACGTGCACTTGTCTGTACTCTCACATGCACCATAGGTTACGTTAATGCAGAAAAAGGGGGGAAAGCAATTTCCGGGAGTATGATTCACCATCTGACGTTGCATTAAGGAAGAAAAGTTGTTTAGTTAGTTTCGGTTTTGGTACGGGGGAAAAAATGCGCGTTCATTAAAAAAAAAAAATTTAAAAAAAGGATTAAAATAAAGCACTAAAAGCAAAAAATAAGCACTAAAAACAAAAAAATAAAGGCTTTAAAGAAAAAGTAAGCACCTATAAGGGCCTTTATATTTTATTTTCAAATATAAGGACTTATAAGCACTTGTAAGGACCGCTACGAACACTGTTCTAGAATAGGAATGATACAAGCATTCTTCCAGCTAGTAGGAAAATATTTTAACGTTAGCACGGTGTTAAGAAAAACTGCTAGATAAAATATATATTGACAGGGAGATTTTTAATCACGCGATTAGAAATTTTATCCAAGCCAGGCGCCTTCCCAGGTTTGAGATTATGAATAATATTCACAATCTCAGTCTGTTAGTTTTGATGTTTTCCTCATTAGGATTAACAGAGGAGAGAAAGTTTTTAACCTTTTGTTGGACTTCATGCATATGCAAAGTGCAGAAATCGAGCATGAGTCCAGTATTTGGTGAGAATCGTGTCTAAAGGCTATCAGCTAATTGCTCTGCCTTCTCAGTGTCGGTGAACGGCATCCAGTCATTGACCGTGCCCATCGGGGAGGGAATGTCATGTTTTGGTTTGCGTAGCCGAGCGCTAGCTTCCCAGAGGCTATTGTTCGAAGTCTTTAATTTGAGTAATTTTCATCTGAGTGTTTTCTGATGTCAGACTTAATCTCATTCTGGATTCTTCGCAGTTCAGTTCGAATGGATTCTAAACGGGTTTTTTGACGATTTTTTGCAAAGAGAGTTTTTAATTTTGATTTTATTCTTAATATTGGCCGGTAATTTGGTCTAAATTTAGGAATTGAGGCCTCATCAAAAGCATTTTTTAGGGTGCTAGCGAATTGATTGATCGCAAGGTCAACTTGCTGATTATTGCAAATTTTGATGGAGGGGGGGGGGAGGATTTTAGAGTTTAAAATATGTCGAAAATTGTCTCTGTTAGTTGAGACGTGTGCCCATAAATTTTGATTAATTTTAGTGCGACTAAGGGATATGTGAACTGGATTGTTGTCAGATGACAGTTCCAGAATCACTTTTATCGAATAATCTATAGGTATGTTTTTAAACAATGCCAGATCAATAATAGAGGGAGCGACTATGCCATCAGGAAATTGGTAATGCGTAGGTTCCCCGGGCGCAATAATTTGGATTCGAGCTTCCTGAGTCCAATTGCCATAGTTGTTGGCAGTGACACAATCCCAACTTCTATGACGGACATTTAGATCTCCTGCAATAATCAGATTATTAGATACCCCACTGAGTTTTTTTAGATCAGGAATAAATGAAGGTCCCTGTCTCGGAGGCATATAGTAGGACGCTACTGCAATTGGGGGTAATTTTGAATATAAATTTGGATAATTGTAGCCTCAAGGGCCTCCAGTTGCGGTGTAGGAATTATGCTAGGCTTAACCCTTTCTGGCACGCTACCTTTTAAAGTTGGAGTTTTGATTAAAAAAAAAAAAAAAAAAAGTAGGCAGTCTAATTAGGCCTAGAGGAGTACACAAGTAAAATTTTGTGAAGATAGCACTTATCTTTTAATTCTGTGGGTGTGCACACTGACTGAATATAGCTTTGAAAAGAGTGCTGAAACAAGCATTGTTGTCTATGAACTGACCGAGAGATGCAGAGAAAGAAAGAATACAGACTCTCAGTTGTCCTAGATTATTGGTGAGCCCTGTTTGCCGTTTGATTTTAGGCAAGATTTCAAGGTAAAAAATTAAAACTAATATAGAATAAGGAGATCAGCATACAACCAAAAAATAACATAGAAATTTCTTTTCAAACAATTCCTTTTATACCCTAAAAAAATCTGGAAGATTTCTTTGAAAAATAAGGGTCTTGCTCACTGATATAGTCTTGAAGTTCGTGAATTTTGGATAGAACACCGTTCGCATTCTAGAAGCAGATGTTGAGTTGATCCTTGGTTGCGGAATCGAATTTGAGGCTTATTCTGTGAGAGCACAATAGCTGTCAAAGATATAAAATGACAGCTCAGGCCCCGTGGAGATTTGAAAGAGAATTTCGGAATGTTTCCAGATACGGAGTTTTGGTACGGATCCAGTAGTATGGATATCGTGGTTAGGGGAGCCTGACTGTGATACCAAAGGGCCCGGGTTTGAATCCTGGAGAAGGCATAGATGTAAAATTGTCTGCCCTTTCATATGAGGTAGCAGTGGCCACCTATTAGATGCTTCCACAATACAGCCACCACTTCTGGCCTTAGTAGTGGCCAATACGGTTATAGGCAAGTGCCTGCCATTGAAAAAAAAAAAAGAGTATGGTAGTAATAACCAACCCAATGACTAACATTGGAATTATCCCAGATTCTTTGCAGAAATACAATTTTATTACAGAAAATAATGCCAAATTGCCTCTCCACTTTGTGTAAAGATTACTGAAATATACTATTATTGTCAGATGTAAGCCAGTGGCCCTATCTCTCCCTTGACAGGTAATGGTTTAGCAGGTCAAATGCATACCTATTATTGTCAGATGTCAGCCAGTGACCCTATCTCTCCCTTGACAGGTACTGGTTTAGCAGGTAAAATGCATACCTAAATTGAATTTCAAAATTCATATCTTTCTAAACTAATTCAGATTCAATTTGGTTTTAGATTTTTCATAATGACATTTAAAATGGATCAGAATTGCCAGTTATTGCAACAGCTTTTTGTGATTTCTCTTATGTTCAATATATCTGTCAATGTCCACCATTACACCTTTTCTTTTCTTTTTTTTTTTTGCATAACCGTTGGACCTTTTCACATACCATAGGCGTACACATACGATAGGTTGAGAAACAGTGCTTTAGACAAATATGTGAACCATTATGAAAAAAAAAACTGATGTATTCTTAATATCAGTATTACATAACAAATACTCGCTCAATTAATTTTTTTACTATGACAAATTAGGTGACGAAATGGATGTCTTTGGAGAGGATATTCTAAGAAAAACTCATTTTTATTCTCAATAAATAATGAAAAAAGCTATGAAAATGCTCATGCAGCTTGCCTATAGAGTTGGATTGATCACTCAGTTAATGGTAGACGATATTAACTACGAATGCAATATGTAGAGCAACTAACAGGATCAAAAATAATACAATTTTGATTTTTATTCAATACCATAACAGTCATTTTTAGAAATTCATGTAATTGGAACTTTAGATTGTTAGTAGTTAGAAGTGCGATATAAACATGCTGCTGATTAGTACACAATTTAGGACACTGAAATTTGAATTCCATATCATTAGAAATTTGCAAACTGTTTCAATATTTTAAATCTCCCTCCAGTGTTACTCAGAATAAACACATTAGGTCTGCCCCTCATAATGAGATGCAAGAAACAAACAAAAATGAAAACTCAAATTTCAGTCACCATTGCAGTAAACTATTTAGAAATTTAAGACAAACCTTTTCCTAAGTATATCAATCGCCCAGATGGTCCACGAACGTCTATTGTGTCTCCAATGTTCATGTTATTCAAGTACTGTGACATTTTACCACCAGCAGGAAATTTTGGATGTACATTTTTAAAGTACACCTAAAACATTTTATTGTCAGTTTCAATCTCTATCAAATGCAATATAAAAAAAAATCATACATACAAATAATTTCTATTTAAATTACTATAACAGAATAAATATATTATTATGTGAGGAAGGATATAAAAAATTTTTCTTTATAAAATCCTCCTCTCAGTGCTGGAATTATTTTCCTAAACTCCCTACTTTATTCTGACAAACTTTGTAATTAGAAGTGAGATGTCTATAATGCATATTCAATGAAATAAATCCAGCAACCATTTTTTTACACCTAGAATATTTTAGAGTTTACATTGTATGATCATAACAAACTTGTCTATATAAGAAAATACATAACGGATATAAATTTAATTTAAGGGCACAGTAAATTCCACTGTTATTTCCCTTTCATATTAATACTTTGTTTTTGGAAATCATAAAATGATACCTTGAATGCTAAAATAGTAATGACAATTAGAAGCTGCCTGGAAGTGCAATTATGGAATGGCAAAATAATTATATTTTTATTTCAGTTACGTAAGCAAACATCAATATATTGGCACAAATTCGTTTTCAGCATAAAAAAGTATATACAATATTATTAATTAATAAGAGTCTTATAAAGAGAAGAGAGATATTACCTTAATAACAAGATCAAAATAACCTTTATCATCTTCACTAGACACAGGTGTATATGGACGTGTAACAATTTCACCACCAATTTTTACACTCAAATAAATGTGCTGTCCTATAAATATTAAAATAACATGTAAAACAGACATATTCATTATAATTAAATTAACATAACATACAGAGATTGACTGCTTCATATCAACAACAAAATAAAATTTTAACAAACTTCGCATAAAAATAAAAGATATCCTCAATGAAGACTGCTTAATAGCTGGAATAAAATGCATTCTGAATACAGAATTTAATGAATTCTTGCATTTAAACTTGTATTCCAAATTAAAATTTAACTTGAAATTAATGAGATAATTACAAAGAGAATTAGATTTCTGTAGCATAGTTTACGTGAGATGAAATCACTTGGGGTCACATGATACGAACCGGCGAATCAGGATGTTGAACCATGAAAGCATAGTAAATTCTTAAATTAATGTCTTTTTACAAATTTATTGACTTTATTTATTGGCATTTTACAAAATTTTAAACCATATTAAAATATTTATGCCTTCAGGATAAAAAATTCTTAGAACTAACATTTTTTATGTGTATACTGTATGTTGTCGCCAACAAAGTCTGCTTGGAGAGATTTGCACCGGCGAAACGGAAATGTACCAATTAAATATGTCATGTCAAGTGCCACGCCTCTCAGAAAGCTACTAATCTGCCAAGCTTGAGAATGCAATCAATAAACAATCAGCTTTGCAATAATTATAGATTATACCTTGTTGAATGGCAATAATTGTCAGGCTACATGGATGATAAATATCCCGACAGTGTAACACAACAGCCACAGAAAATAGGGAAAGCCTAGGCTGCGGGTCTCTGAAACATTAAACCGTATAATTAAATTTACACACTGCTCCAAATCTCAAACCGAAACATTCCACATAGATACATCGTTGATCTGATGCCAACCTGGCAAATCATTATTTATTATACTTTCCTTTTATCACCGCATGTTTATCAAAACACTAAAAAAAAAAAAAAAAAAAAAAAAAAAAAAAAACGCATCAAAAAACACTAAATACGCATTGCCTTGCCACCAGTTATACTCCTCCTCAAAAAAAAAAAAAAAAAAAAAAAATCAATAGCAAGTAACAACAAAATTAAAAGCAACCTCATGACTTGTTGGTTCTCCAAAACTTCCAATTTTCAAATAAATCAATATACAAAGATACAAGATAAAATAATACAGAATGGTACTTATGTATTATCCCATTGACTGTGAAACTCACCAAACAGCACAATTTAGCTACATGTTAAGGCCCGTCCACACGAGTACTCTTGCAACATAGTCGACGTTATTTTTTTCCGCCAGCATAAATTCGCATTATGCAGAGGATGTAAAATTGAGTTCGCTCATGTTCAGCTTTTTAGCCCGTGACGTGGACCAACAGCCAGTAGCTGACTGAGTTCTTATCACGTGCCGTAGTTGGAAATAACTTCTTGTTTACACTTTTCAATATTGCTTTGGAACCACACAGCGATGAGTTTCCCGCCCTCAAGAGATAGATCGTAACTGTCCACAGGAATAAAATCGTCATTGTTTACAGCATTCTCAGTTCTCTCAAACCATATAGATTGGCATAAATATCATATTCTCATTAAATGGAAAAGACTCTATATTTATAAAGCAATGATCCGACCAGTATATCCATATGCTTCACCTGTATGTAACAAAATAAGTAATAGGAACCTAAATAAATTAGTTTTTACGAAATCAAATTTTCTGCCTCACAAAATTCTCCTTAATTATTAGAAATGTTTGTTATTTCATATGTAACAAGAAGCTCTATGCATATCCCAATATTAAATACACCAAATACTAACTTCAACAATATAACAATGTTTAAAATAAAGCAGTTGACTGTGAATGAGTACTCGATAAAATACAGTTACAACTTAAGTCATATGGCATTCATTTATTGAATATTAATTAAATTACCTTCATAGTGATTTCTAACTGTTATATTATTTTTTGTAGCAAGTGATATCACAGACAGCTGCGTGGTCAGAGCGCTGGACTGCCAAGGGAAAGGTTGCAAGTTCAAACCTCACCCACAGCCATTGTAAATTAAAGATAGCTTTTTTCATTATGGAGCATGTTTCTTTTATTTATTCATGAATTATATTACCACTTATATTCATTTTATTCTTATTTCATCTATTTATTATTATTTTCATTTCTTATTTTATCTATTATTATTATTGTTTTAAATTTAGTTTAAAATTGTGCACTGTAAATAGAAACCATTAACCCATTATGTAATGATATATAGGCATCTCTTGTACGAATTATCTCTTTATTTTTACTTCATTGCATATTTTATTATCTACATAATTTTACGTAAATTGGCCAGAATTTGAACCTTATTCTAAATTCAAAAATAAATAAAAATAGGTTTAAAAAAATATCAATACAAAGTCCGTAATCCTGATTCTTTTTCCTGGTTATAGATCATCAATTTAAATCTGATAACATGGCATGCAGAAATTATACAATTAAAAATATGAAACCATAATTTATGAAATAAAGAGCAATTATGATCTAAAGAGTATCAAAATTTACAAAAACAAAAACAAAACAAAACAAAAAAAAGCTTTATATTTATTTGCTTACTTTATTAAACATTTCTTTCAATGTTTGTCGAAACATGCTTTTGCTTTGTAGATCCTTTGGCAGCTCCAGAATTGGAAACTCTTTTTGACATAATCAAAAGTTCAAGCTTAATTTTTATAAAATTGCTCTAACAGTCCACAAAAAATAATAAGCCAGATCCAATTAGAAGATTACGGAACAGCGCAATCTGCAACATTAACTGAAATGCCTTAGAATCAGTAAAGATAAATTTAGCCTAGCTTATACCGTCCATTATACATTAAACACGCATGCATAAATGCATTACGACTATGCGTAAAGTATACAAAAAAAAAAGTTTGTGGCTTGGAGGTCCGGATTATAGATCATTCCGGATAATGGACATCCGGATTACAGATTTTGTACTGTAGCTGAAAGCTTTCAGATTTTATATTACTCCCAAATGGGTGTTTCCCCCCATTCACAAGCACATACATGTTTTGAGAGCATTTGGGCTAACGTCACATTGTGCTAAAAATATTTAATAAAAGCATATCTTTAGAAACTTTATTGGATGAACTTGTTTCTTCTAATTTATTTGTGTAATAATATATGCAGAATAATCAAATTACAGAACAGTTTACCTATTATACAGATTCCCTTAAACTTACTCCCATAGCTCACATAATGAAGCAAGCCAAGGGACAAAGGAAAGATTAAAAATTATGAAGATGATTTTATTATAATGTGGACTGTGTTTCATTTAATTCTCTTTATATACTGTTTTATAAATTTAAATTTTGTAAAATTTTATAAATCTTAATTTGCATAAAAACTGGACTTGTGCATATAATAACTGTTTAATCCTACTATCCGAGCCGTTAACTTGCTTAACAAACAAAATTTCACTATAAACCGAACCGATGTGATGTTCTTCTGACCAGACTATGAAACAGAAGATGAAACACTTTAAACTTACAGCCTTCTATGAGTGTCACATGCTTTTTTCTCTTCAATAATGCTATTGGCTAAGCGCAGACTTCACTCGTTTGGACGACTTTTCACCTGCGACATGCATTTCGTTGCGTCATTTACGTTGCTAGCGTAGTTGTGTGGATGCACCTTTAGTTATGGATAAGAGTGATATAGCAACACACCCATAAGATCTGATTTGAAGTAACCCTGACTGATTCTCAATAATACACCTTTTATTTTTTATTATTATTTAATAAGCTGACCTGAAATAAAATTTCAATATGTTGAACATTGTATTTAAATTTCATACCTACAGGAAGCCCAAGGACATGATCTGGAGAAGGCAATGCAAAACGAAACCTTCTGGTATCATGGCTGATTTCCTAAATAGGGGGAAAAAATTAATCTGTCATAATATTACTATAAAGCTCACTCTATACACATATGCCTAAATTAAATATGTCTTTATGACATAAAAGCACTTAAAATCTGTCTTGCCAAACATTCACTTAAACCTTTGCGGCACAGCGTGTCCGGTATGGACACACCTAAAAATTTCCTTCTGTACGCACAGTAAAATTGAATGAAAAAGGATTTATAGGCTACTCTGAACCTTCTTTATTTATAGAAGATGGCAGCTCAACACAAACCAGTCCATATATTTTAGCCATGTTTAGTTTTTTAAGACCCTCATTTTTCATACAAATTTTCTAGATTTTTTTTAGGGTATAAAAGGAATTGTTTGAAAAGAAATTTCTATGTTATTTTTTGGCTGTATGCTAATCTCCTTATTTTATACTAGTTTTAAATTTTTACCTTGTTTTCTTGCCTAAAATCAAACGGCGAACCCTAGGTGTGCCCAGACCGGGTTCACCGATAATCTAAGACAACTGAGAGTCTGTATTCTTTGTTTCTCCACATCTCATCGGTCAGTTCACTGACAACAATGCTTGTTTCAGCACTCTTTTTCAAAGTTCTATTCAATCAGTGTGCCACTTTGGGCACACCCACAGAATTAGAACGATAAGTGCTATCGTAACCAAATTTTACTTGTGTACTCCTCTAGGCCTAATTAACTGCCTACTATTTTTTTTAATCAAACTATGACTTTAAAAGGTAGTGCCTGAAAGGGTTAAGAGATTGTTGTAGGAAAGAGAGGGAATTCTGTCCCAACAAACATTAGAACGATAAGTGCTATCGTAACAAAATTTTACTTGTGTACTCCTCTAGGCCTAATTAGACTGCCTACTATTTTTTTTTAATCAAAACTATGACTTTAAAAGGTAGTGCCTGAAAGGGTTAAGAGATTGTTGTAGGAAAGAGGAGGGAGAATTCTGGATCCCCATCTCCTGGGGGGGAACATTATCAAAACTGGATGTGAGGTTAATAGCCCTTGTAAGCTTTACCTAAATCAAGTAATACAAGTCCAGTATCAGAATAATAAAATTACAAATCAGCCTATAAATAGCATTGGAAGTAATGCTTTACCTGTCAATAAAGAGCACCCAGTTCTTCTTTTATATGCCAACGTGCATCCACTTTCTCAAAAGCATATATATATATACATAAGACCCCCCCCCAAAAAAAATCATTTCCAGAATGTCAAAAATGCCTGCACTAAAAACCAAGTTCATTCATCTCTATCTTTGCTTTTTTATGAGAAGTTTGCTATTCTCGGCTAGATTCTGAATTTTTATAAAGAGCATGCCAATTCTTTTTTAAAGCCAACACACTAATTTTTTTTTTAATTACATTAATGAGTGGAAGTTAGAATTACATTGCACTTGAAAGCTGGCTATAGTATTTGCATATAAATATATTATTAAATATAACATAGCATATAAAATAATAAAATGCACTTAATAAAAATTTTAAATTACCAGATTTAAGGTATGAAATTAAAATCTGACACTTTCTGACTACCTGCCCCCCCCAAAAAAAACGTGAAATCTTTTCTAATTTTTTGACAAGCAAATGCATGAAAGGCAACAGCCGTTTTCAAAATGATGCTATACTATGAATTCCAAACAAAAGCAATCAATCAATAAAATTAAGAAAGCAAGAAACATCAGTATTAAAATACTTTTCGAGAAATCATTTTTTCTGCTGCTCTTCCCATGAACAAAACGATGTGTTTTCACTTTAAAAAAAAAAAATCAAAGCATTATATAAACTTGGCATCTGTGCTCTACGCAATTCGGCATTGCACCACCAAAACAAATGTGTGTTACGTGCATATCTGGGTTGCCATATAAATACTTTTGGCAACATCATAGGTTGCCACATAATTCAAACGTTCAATCTTTGGCAACTTTTAACTTTCATTTTTGCATGGGTGAAGAAGCAAATGGAAATTTTGGCTTTAAAAATTATACTAAAGTACATTTCTATGTTTACTTTTGCTTTTACAAAATTTTCATTATATTCTTCTATTATTACATACTCATTCTGATGATTTTTATCATCTTCAGCTGCTAGTAATAAGAGCTTACTTCATAATCTATTATTGTTAGCTGAGAATAAATTCTACATAAATTAGTAAAATTAGATCTAATGTTCTTAACATTACCTTCTTTTAATAATGTCATTCAAACCATTAAAGCACTTCCTAAAATTAGTTCCCCTAGGTGAGCACTTTTAGAAGTAATTCCAATTTCAGTATAACATGTACTTCAATAAACGTGCCTTTAAAATGATCATGTCACTCTGGTCACTATGTTGTGAGACTCCATCTGAATTTTATTCAATCAGTTGATTCTCCAGTAAAAAAACACAAAAAGAGGATAAGATTTTCAATAAAACCGGCAATACAGCTTAGTATGAAAATATACATGCATTCCCACCTTTTTTTTTAATATTCTAAACATAAACTAAAAATACTGTTGCCAAATCGAAAAAAAAAAAAAAAAAAAGAAATTTAAGAAAAATTATATTTACATAACCATTGAATTGCTTCCAACAATTTCCTTTAGTGCAAATTATTTTAGCTGTTTCATTTTTGTCTTAATATATTCTCTTTAATTTCATATACAGATATAAGTTCACCAGTGGCTGAGCACTAAAGTTGCTGAACACTGGTAGTTTGGTCCTGGATCTGATGAACAGGCTGGCTATATGGGCGTTTTCATGGCTTTCCCCATGTGTAATGTCTATATGATCGTTTCCCATAGAAAGTCCTCTACAAAGGCATCCCTTCCCTTATGCAGATAGCCCTCGAGTGCTTTGCCATAATTAAATAAAACCAAAACCATTGACAGTTATAATTTCTTATTCAGTTGCAAAGTCCCACTATCAACTGAAATCTTTTTATTCTCAACAAGAACTCATTTCTATCACTTTCTTCCCTGTTGGTAGTGATATTTTCTGGATTTAAAAACTGTGCTACAGATTTCACCATGTGTTGGTTGATTGATGATTTGAGCATAGTCTCATAGTAATGGAAAACTTCTTTTACATCATATTCATTTATTATCACTTTTCCACAAATCCCACTCACTCGAAAATTTTGCTTTTTACTTCTGATATATAAAAACCTTCAAGTTTACACTACCATCATCATCACAATAAAAGCTGGATATAAATTATGCCAACCACTTTTTAAAATATACTCAGACATGTCTTCCCATGATCTTATACACTGCAAATTTTATGTTAAAATACACTGGTTTCCAAAAGTTAAGCAACAAGGGGAAACTGATAACTGAAACGTATAAAAGCAAAGTCGATGAAACTTGGTGAAAATATTTATTATACCTTCTGTAACTTAAAAAACACAGGAAAAAGTTATTGAGTTCCATAGAAACAAAACAAAAACAAAACCAAACAAAACAAAAAAACTCCAAAATTCACAAATATAAAAAAAAATCTCATTAGAGAGTATGACCACACCGAAACAGTAATACATGTCTGACATCTATGTATCATGCAGTTTATGATGTTGTACATAAGCAGAATGGGTAGCAATGCCTATTGATCAAGGAAAGCAATTCCTATCCTATCTAGGGTTTAGGGTAGGTTTGGAGGCCAGCACCATGCCTCTTTAGAGGATCCCACACATGCTCAGTATGATTAAGGTCAGGAAAATGTGTTAATGTGTGCCATTTGGACTATAGGTTCTTCTTCAAGAAATTAGAGCACGAAAAGAGCAGTGTGAGAGAGGGTATTATCTGCTTTCAAAATGAAGGTATTGCCAATTGCATTAGCATACAGGTGAACAGTAGGATCTAGTACGTTGTCTCTGTGCCTCTGAGTGTTCAGAGTTCCATGTAGCAACATGTACAGGTCTGCACATCCAACTAAAAATACTCCTCTCCATATAAGAATACTACCTCCTGCACAGGTATCCCATATGTTGATAACATGCACTTCAATAAACATGCCTTTAAAATGATCATGTCATTTTGGTCACTACGTTGCGAGACTCAATTTGAATTTTATTCAATCAGTCGATTCTCCAGTAAAAAACATAAAAAAAGGATAGGATTTTCAATAAAACAGGCAATACAACTTAGTACAAAAAAATGCACACATTTACACCTTTCTTTTTAATATTCTATACATAAAAAATGTATATCAGCAGAAGATATCAAGTGTTTGCTCCTTTTCACATGTAAATTATTCACATGTAATTAAGAATTACTCCACAAAGTAAAGCAGCTCCAGTGAACAGAAAGATATCCATCAATTTTCACTCCAGTTTACATGAAAACATGCCCAATTCAAATTCTTCCTTTGGTAGTGGGAGGTAAGCAGGATGCATAGTACTGGTCACCTAGCATACATACCTCTTTTGTGCAGCCTTCTGTGTACTGTTGTGTCTGACACTGTCCTTCTTGTAGCAGAAATAACCACAAATCTAAGCTGAGATGGAGTTGCAGTTGTTGCGATGCACACCAAATTGTAAATGCAATCATCTGCAAAAGTTGTTAACTCATAGCCTTCCTCTGGTCTTTACATTAGAAATGGCATTTAGCTATTAGAAACTCAGTTCCACAACTGGTTTACCATGAAATAGTCAACATTTAGCCTGTGGTGGTCACTGTGTTGAGTGGCTGCAGGTAGCACATCTGACTTCTTATAATGACGAGTACATTTATGAAGTTGCATAATACTTACTGCATTATTGAACTCAATACGAGATGCTCTTTACGAATATAATTAATTCACAGATAGCATAGAGCCATTACTGAAGTGAATTATAGTCCTTGTGATGTAAGGGTCTCTCTAGCCGAGAGTTTAAGCACATTCTGAGGTCTTGTTTTGATGGAAAAAATATCCAGACTGATTTAGTCACGCCTCCTTAATTTCCAGTAGTATTTTACATCCTCTGATTCGTTATATCTGGAACAATATCAGAGGAAAAAATAACGGTTTGTCAGCCCTC